TGCGGCAAAAGCTCCACTACAGCCCGGCGAAGTTCCATTGCAGCGCCGGCAGTGCTTCAAAAGCTCCAACGCAGCCCGGGGAAGCTCCATTGCAGCGGCGACAAAGCTCCAATGCAGCAAACGGCGGTGCGGCAAAAGCTCCACCGCAGCCCGGCAAAGTTCCATTGCAGCGCCGGCGGTGCTTCGTTGTTGAGCGTCACAGCATCTGTTGCCGGTGAGACCTCTCGATTGCAGCGCCGGCGAGCTTTAATGCTTTATCCAGTGCCGGGCCGGCAAAATCCCGGGCCCTGTGCGAAACTAAAAGCTAGGGCCCTATCTCACAAAAAAATGAACTAACGAGCAATTATAGTATATATATCTCACAGAAAAAATTGCAATGTATATAATATAATGTCTTGCATAACAATTGCATATAAAAAAGTCATACCTATCCAACTCCCTCTTGCTATTTATTTGAACATCCTCATTCTTTTAGTATTCTTTGAAATGAAATCTTCAAAATGATATCTCCGTAGTCAATCTTCTCCAACACTTCACTCTCAAGTTTTCCCATGATGACTCAAATCTGTATTATTGAAACACAACATAAAGAAGATGGATAAAATTGAAGTTATACAGTAGCATATATCAATTGGAGTTGGAGATCATGCATCAATGTTTGCCAATTCGACGAACCGTCTAACCACCTAATTTTGAGTCATGTGACCTTTAACCGAGGAGGTAAGAAGGAAGAACCAATCTCTAATGAAGTAACGACCCCTATCAATAATTAATTACAAAATTAGGAATTAGGAGTAGGAACCAAAGTTCCTTCGCTAAGCAGTAAACACTTGGCAGGAGGATGTCGGTCACCGATCAATCCAAATTTGAGTGAGGACAGAGGAGGCGAGGAAGGCAACGGTGGCAGCGGCCGGTCGCATGGAGACGTTCCTTTCCTTCATGTAGCCACGAGCCCACGGCCGCCGTCCCACGATTGAGAGCAGTTCTCACGATCCTGAATTCCTGATCTCTTTAGGCTGTAGCGATCGAGACATCGAGTACAGGTCTGCTAGAGTACAAGCAGTCGAGGAGGAGTCTCAGGACGACGAGGAGACCATGAGAAGTTTCAATGCTCGTCGCTGCCGCCGTTTCAGCGCTGGAGACCTGGAGTCGAGGATATCACAGATCAGGTCGATCCCGTTTCAGCGTCGTTTTTATCTAGGAGTCCGTTTCAGCGCTGGTTTTTTTTAGCATGAAACCAAGCTTTTATTCATCGAAAACCACAGTATGTGGGATACATCTCTCGTTATGGAATTGGCCAAGCCACACATGGCGTCCCTTGCCCAACGAACAAGAATGCTTGGCTAATCTATGGGCTTCAATATTAACGACACGGCTTTCAAAAGTAAAAGAACAACTAAAAGAAGCAGCTAAAGTGTTTATCTCCTGAACAATGGCTCCATTGGGTTGGCGGCACACCCATTAATAGCTCCCATGACTTCTTTTGCATCAGACGCCACTATTACCGCATGGAGACTAAGGTCCTGCGCCAATGCTAGTGCTTCCCTGCATGCTATTGTCTTCGAAATGAAAGGATCATCAACTCCCCCAGCGACAAGAGCTGAGCTCCCAAGGAAGACTCTGGCTGCATCTCGGCACACTACTGCAGCAGCTCCTCCCCCTCCTCTCCGGCATGCTGCGTCAACATGGATCTTCGCGTACCCCTGTGGAGGAGCCTTAGGGCGCTGGTTATTTATCCTTCCCTGCCTTCCAATCTGCTCTGTCGCTGGTTTTCTGATAAGTTCAATCTCCGTCAGATATCTTGCAATAAACTCTTGTATGGCCTTGTATGGTTTCAGCGCTGGTTTTTCTTTTTTTTTTTGAGACAAGGTTTCAGCGCTGGTGGTTGTAGCTCGATGGATCTCCTCGCTTCGACAGGTGACTCCAGCCCAGAGCGGCAGCTCCCAGCAGCCCAGTAGTTCATAATTTTTTTAATACTAGGCCTATGTAAAAAATTTGGGGCCTCTTAGAATTCTAGGCCCTTTGCGGGCCGCACTTTCTGCACCATTGTGGGCCCATCCCTGGCTTTATCCAGTAGCAGCAGCCGAGCCCCAGCCTTGCAGAAGCCCACGGCCAGTGCAGGCGCCTCCACCGGCAGCATCGGAGCGGCACACGACGGAAGCTTCACAACACAACGCGCAGCACCAATGAAGCTGGCTTCCTCGATGAAGCACATAACCATGGGGAGAAGTGGAGATGGGAACGATGGGAAGAATGGAAGACGAAGAATTGGGAAGGAGGGGGACAAGGTTTCAGAGATGGGAGACGAGGGACAAACGACGCGGAAGGCGTGCGAGTTGCTGGGTCCACACGGGACACGCGTGGCTAGGAGGAGGCGGTTTACAAGCTGCGTGCATCAGCCGGTTGAAAATAAAACGATTTTCACCATATCAGCAAACTTATTCTCATCGCGCGAAAGAATAGGATCGCACGAGGCGATCTAGGAGGCGGCGAGGGTTTCCTACGCGCCGCCGGTTCCCTCTCTCTCCGTCGGCCGCTCCGGCGGCGGGAGAGATGGGGAACCTCGGGTCTGTTCGCTAGGTGGGTGTGTTGTAGGGTTAGGGTTGAGGGAGACGCTGCCGAGGCCGTTGCGGTGGTGTCGCGTCGGAATAAGTTTCTCCGGGCTCCGTTCGCGGTCAGGCGAGGCTTTTGCTTTCGTCTAGGAGCCAGCGGGGTTGGGGATCCCCGGATCTCGTCGAGGTCGCGGGCTATGGTGGCTGGAGGTCCATCAGCACTGGCCGTTTGGGTCCTCAGATGGGCGATGGATGTAGGGAGACAAAGACCCTTCTTCTTCCTCGTTGGTATGATTTGTTGCTGCTGTTCTTCTCCTTCCTCTGCGCTGATACTGGTGGGAGATCTTGCTTTGCCCGGGCGGATGGCCCGGCCGCGGTGTTGGACCGGTCGGATGACTCGAGTTCTTTTCCTTCCGGAGGTGACACTTTTCGCGGTACTGAAAGCCATAGATGGCGACGGCTGTTGCAGGTATGTTGGATTGATGTCCATGCCCTCTCAGCGCTGGTATCAAGAAAGGAGGAAGCAGCGTGGCGGCAATTGTACTGAGGTCGAAGATGATGACCTGCTTGCAACTGGTTGCAGATCCTTCTGCTGCAGGGGTCTTCTCTCAAGATTCAAGGATGATGACACATGGCTCCGGAGATCTTCTTGCGTTATGGTTGTCTTAGGGTATTCTAGGAGTTCATGGTCCTTTGTGTTTGCGTTTCAGTGTATTCTAAGAGTTCATGGTCCTTTGTGTTTGCGTTTCAGTGTGCTTGTAAGTAGGGGTGGGCGTTCGGTATAAACCGAAATTTCGGTTTCTATCATTCGGTTTATATTTAAATTCGGTTTGCAAAACCAAAAACCGAAATTGGTAACTCAAAATAACTAACTGAAAATTCGGTTAACCGACAATTCAGTATGGTTTTCGGTTTACACCGATTAGACCATGCTTTGAAGGACTGTGCCAGGGGCATACTCTTATATAGCGAGAAATCTTTGCCTCACGTCATCGGCTAGGCGAGGTGGGACTAAAGAAATATATGGTCATGGTCAAAGAAAGTCACGTCGCAGTTTGCCTGTGGGCTAGTACCTTTTGCTAAAAAAACATGGGATAGTGGCTGGCTGCGTGGCAACGTTGAGGCCTTGCCCTATTAAAAAAATCAACTCTAGGCCTTCATCGAAGGGAAGTGTGGCAGGCTGCGCAGTGCGCAGAGGAAAGATGGACAGCGCGCCGCTCCACCGTACTGTTTCTTTTGTCAGTTTAGGTAGTCTGCGTACTGTTTATGTGTCTCACACGCTGTGTTCGGTTTTGTTTCGGCTAACCGAACTACAAACCGAACCTTGTTCGGTTAGTACAAGCAGAAACCGGTTTTTTATATATTATTGATAAAAACCGAAAATTCGGTTTTTTCGGTTTCGGCTTCGGTCCGGTGTTTGGTTTGTCGGTTTTTATGCCCACCTCTACTTGTAAGGGTCAACTACTTTGTATTAATTCGTGATATGAATGATAAAATTCTAAAAAAAAATGATATTTTTTCATGTACAGGCTAATGTGCGGGATCTGTTTGGTCCGTCAAAAACGTTAATCCTGCCTGTCAGAATTTTTGGGGCCAGAGGCATCTTACACGATCTTCTAGCTAGATGTGACATAGCTAAGCAAATCCCGTCTCAAAAAAAAAAGGTAAGCAAATCTGAATAAAATAAGTAGGAAAGACCCATCGAGTTGAGCCTCAATCCCCAATCTCTGGAGAACCCTAGACCCCAAATCCCCCGATCCATTCCTACGCCCATCCATCGGCGGCCGGCGGCCGGCGGCCGGCAATGGTGTGACCTAAGGCGCATCACATCGCTCTTGGTTCCTGCTTCCATGGAGCGCACGCGGGGGCATCGGCGGCGAAAGCTCTCCGTCGCCGCCGGCGTCGGCGTTGGAGGTGGCGAGGACGGCCTCAGCGCGCTGCCGGACGACGTCCTCGTCCACATCCTCCTCAAGCTCCGCGACGCCCCCGTCGCCGCTCGGACCAGCGTCCTCGCCCGCCGCTGGCGCCGCGTCTGGGCTCTCCTCCCGGAGCTCCATTTCCCCGTCGGCACTGACCCCGACCGCATCCGCGCCGCCCTCACCGCCCATGATGCGCCGGCCCTCCGCCACCTCTTCGTTGCCGGCATCGAGGTCACCCCCGAAATCGCTGCGGCATGGCTCCCCATCGCCGCGCGCCGCCTCTCTGGTGTCCTGCATTTCAAGAACACGGGGGCCATGAATGAGGCCACCGCCGGGGAAAGAGGTACCTTGAAGTTGCCTTGCTTCGAGAAAGCAACCAAGGTCGTGCTCGATCTACATTCTATTGGCCTCACCCTGCCGCCTTCCGGCGTATTTACCCGGCTCACAGATCTGGAGCTGGTTCGCATACATCTGCACGGTCCGTGTAGCCTCAGCGATGTTGTCTCTTCATCACGGTGTCCATCTCTGCGTCGCCTTTCCGTTTGCAGTGTCAGGGGTCTGGACAACTTCACAATCCAGTCGGAATCTCTCCTACAACTGGAACTGAGGAATTTGCATACCTTGCAGCAGCTCAGTATCGTTGCCCTGTCTCTGCAAAAATTAAAAGTATTCCTTTGCTTCACCGATCCTTTGAATCAAAGTCAACCAGTTGCCAACATCTCAGCTCCTCAGCTGGTGACACTTGATTGGAGGGGTGCTTATGATCCTCGCTCTGTTTTGTTTGGCGAGATGCCAAATCTCCAACAACTGACCACCAATCCTCTTTGTGTATATGGAGGAGATACAGTTTCTGCACGCAATCATCACAGCTTGATGCTTTCACAGCATTTTCACCATATCAGCAAACTTATTCTCATCCTTTTCTATCTGCCGGTATGTGAGTCAATCCATTATAACCAAATTTTGAGAGTTAAACTTGAGGAATATATCATTTGGAATACTTGCGAAGCCATACAAAATTGAAAATTCACAACAATGCACACAAAAGTGGACTTGTTTAATTAATGTGTGTTAGTCACTTTGTAGAAAAATGACATGTTTGTGTCCTTGTCCAACTATTGACCTATTGTATGACTTCCTATGAACCTGCAGGTCCATGGCAACGAACGATTCTTGATGGAAGAGATGACAAAGTTGCCTAACATTACCGTCTTGGGGCTGTTTGTATTGGCATGTGGACATTCCTTTGGAGCCAGCTCATTCCATGTTCTCAAGATGTCTAGCGGTATAAGACAGCTCACGCTTCAACTTGTTACTCGGAGGGACTCTAAGGTAACACTATACTTAGTTTACAAGAAAATAGGCAGCAAGGAAGTTTGTGGGAAATCCCATTGCTTAGCAGCGAGTTGCCCTACTCTTGTTGTTGGTTAGGGTTAGATACTGAAATATTGCTTATCAAACTTGACAAAAGTAATATACTACTTGGATTCGTGACTTTGCAGTAGGTTTTATTTGAAAAGATTACAAGTCTGTTGGGAATGGCACAACAAATTGATGGGGTCATATTTCCAGCAAAAAATTGGAACCCTCATTTGATCTTCTATAGCAAATATGAAATCTTCTTTTATTTTTATATGGGTTGATGATAGCATGATACATCAGCATTCGTATAAGGTTTATAATCTGTTGGGTTTACGGTTTTCCATATGCATACAACAATTATACTTTCAGCAATATTCTGGTTCTAGATTAATTTGTATGCTTTTATTCTTTTGTAAATTTTCTTCTTGGCATATCTAAGAGTATCCATGCAGTCTAATAATTTCTAGTTTCATGTCTCTTATCTCAAACCATATCAGTTAATCTTAAGCTGTTATTCCTCTTGATTCAGGTGTGCCAACCAGGTTGCATTTGTGCTGAACCATCAAATTGGGAAACAGAGGACCTCGTGCTACCTTGCCTCAAAGAAGTAGCAATCAATGGCCTGAGAGGAACTGAACATGAACTCGCTCTTGTGAAAAGGTTATTCAAGTGGGCGACAATGCTAGAAAGGGTGACAGTAAGTTTCCATGACTCGATCTCTGAAAGCAACGACGAAGAGTTCCGCCAGTTGTTACTAAGCTTCTCTAGGCCAGCAATATGTATGAAATTTTCGCATGGCGGAGGAAGTTTATCATTTGACTAGGACACCAACTTTGCCGATTTACTATGGTTGTCAGTTCAGTATGGTGTACTTTTGTGAGACTGAACTTCGGTAACTTGTTCAAGTCCAGCAACTTGTTTCCAGCATTTCTGAGACTGATCTCTGGTAGCATGTTTAATTCTAGAACTTGTTTCCAGTATCTGTGAGACTGAATGCTGTATAACCTCTTGTAACTTGTTAACTTTGAGACTTGTTTTTAGTATTTGTGAGGCACAGGTGAAGTAGTAACTTGTTCAATTCTAGAAGCTTGTTTCCATACTGGATGCACATTTGTGGCTGTTTCCATGAATACATAACAGAGCATGTAGAAATTGCTATACTCTACAAAGTATACTTGGCATATACTGAAACAGCAGTCACATACTAGTACTATACAAGTAACGACCTGGTCTGATGCAAACTTCGAATGGCGGAATTTAGAGAGCTCTACAATATTGAGGTTCGTAAGAATCAGATTTGAGAAGAGACTAGTTCTCACAATTTGGTGCCGTGAATTGGTTGCATGAGTTGTCGCAGAGGCAGACAATGGCGGTGCTTTCGGGTGGGTGGTTAGTGGTTAGATGGAAGGACCAATTAAGAGTTAATTTTTTGACAAAGTGAACTAAGTGGTGTGTGGACTCAGTAAGAGTTGATTTTTTCACAAAGTGAACTCAGTGGTGGTGCTTTTACTCTCTATAACGAGTGATCAAACATCAGCTTTGATACTTTGCTGGTACACCGATGTGTGCCTATTCTTTCACTAGGATGGGACGATCATGTTGACAGCGGAGCGCCTGTGGTGACTTGCACGAATGTAAGCAGAGTATTTTCCACTTGATTTCAATGATGTAGACATCAAAACTTATTGCGGTCCCGATCGCTTGGAGCGTCGAGGTTGGCCAAATTGGGGCCTTTGCAAGCTCTGCAATAGGGAGCAAGAATCAGGAGCCCACCATTTCTTCAAGTGCCGCTACACGATTCGGCTATGGAAGTCTCTTATTGAGAAACTAGGTCTTGCGCACATGGATACTTTCGATTGGCTCATGGACGACTCCGTCTACCAATGGTGGGACAAGAGAACCGACAACCGCAACCCTAACCGGCAAGCTATGGCCTCCCTCACCATGCTCGTCTCTTGGACCATCTGGAATGAAAGAAATGCACGTGTGTTCCACCACAAAAGTGCACCACCGACCGTCCTACTCACCGCCATCGTCGACGAGGCCAAGCTTTGGATGGCCGCGGGCGCAAAGAAATTAGGGAATTTTTTTCTGGGCGAGTAATTGTCATGCCGAAAGTGTGGGTGTGTTGTATTTCTCTAAACTCTATTCTCTCCTTATTTAATAGACGAGGCAAATCTTATGCCTCCGTTTCGGAAAAAAAAACTTATTGCGGTCATATCTAGCATTCCTGCGCCAACTCCTACTTGGATCCCCCCTAGACAACTTTCAGTTCAACTACTAGTCCGACGAATATAACCAATGCCTGCGTGTACTACACTTTAAGGCACTAGATAACAGGCCCGGGACATACCAAATACCGATGGGATACACAACGCTAAGTGCAAAACTATGGATCGTTATCATGTTAACCATTTCCCCAGCAATATCAGCCTTGCACTTGGAAGCATCAATTGCTTGCAATATAGAATGCACCCCGGGGGCTCATCTATCAATATAATGCAACGAGAAAAGAGAACATTTGGCGTCAGATGTTGCCTCAAGTGCAGTACTACCTGACATGAACCTCCATGTGGAGAGCAGGTGCACCACTTCGGTACAAGCCAAACATCACGGGGTAAGTAAATTAGAAAAGACATGATATGTAATGCAAAACAGCGTAACATGTTCCAGAAAATCTAAATGGAATATGACACAAAAAAAGAGTACAAAGCAGATAAGATAGCTTATGTTCAATGCCCGAACCAAATCCAAATTGTATCCATACTTCAGTTTTGTGAAATTAACTACAAAGGCCTCGACTCGACAACTAAAACTTACGCAAAAGGTCCTCTGGTGAACCAAGTAAATTCATAACAATGTCTCATTTTTTTTTTGCGAGGGAACAATGCATCAAATGTTAATCTAACTGATATTTCTCCGGATCTGAATACGAATGGATTGACGTGTCAGACTCATAATATATTCCTGTACAAGTACAAAAAGAATGTGCAATAAGTTGGACTGGCATATCCTTGAGTTAAATGTGGCGGAGCCAGAAGAACCGTGTTTTTGTTAGCAACATGAAGCTGATAGAAGCTTGGCTTATGTTTTACGTATTTGGTTGTTCAATTAACTTGAGAAATATACATTGCTAAATTTCACAAATATACACGGGGTTGCAAAAATGTAAAAATCACCAAGATAAATTATTTATATTAAGAATAAATTTCCCTTGATGCTTATCATTTGCACATTTATTGTTCCAACTAATCCAAATACATGGTATGAGAATGCAAAAAACTTCAAAATGTAGGAAGACTGGAAAATTGGGAACACCAAAAATTTTTAAATCACCAAGACTAATAATTTGATTTGAGAAGAACACATTCCCCTTTGATGCTCATCATTTACACATTTGCTGTTCCAACTAACTTAAGTTAAAAAATACCGTTGGCAAAATTTAACACACATACATGGAATGGGAATCCAAAAAACTTCAAAATCTTGGAAGACTGAAACTTTGCCTTGCCGTGGAAAGACAGAAAATTTAAAAATCACAAGACTATAATTGACTTAAGAACAATTTCCCCTTGATGCTTATCATTTAAACATTTACTTTTCAACTATATTAAAATACCGGTTATGAAATTAATTAACACATACAACATGAAATGGGAATGCAAAAAGCATCAAAATTCTAGGAAGATTGAAATTTTGACTTTACCATTGGAGGACCGTATTCTTTCCTTGATGTTGATTCATCGAGCCTCTCTCTAATAGGCCCCCGACTCCAAGTGAACAAGTCTCCTATCACCATGACCTCTTGCAAGCCACAATCATCAATACAATCTCTGAACTCCTGCATGTAGTGTTGAGGCCGAAAATTACCTCCTTCTTTCTCACTTCTAGTGATTATTTCATTAAAATCGCCAAGCACTAACCAAGGCCCCGCATTGTTACTATGAAGATCACGCAAACATGTCCACGAGAGGTGCTTCCTTTCCCAAATTGGTTCCACATAGAACCCAGTTAGCCGCCATGATGGATTGTCACCATCCATCACTATGTCGTCAATAAAATTGTCGGAAGAGTAATTCAAGATCACTTCATTAACTGAATTATAAAAGAGCACAAGTCCACCAGAACGGTCATCACTGCCCACCAAGTGAAAGAAATCAAAACCTAGCTTAACACTCAATCCTACTGCCTTATCCTTATTTAAATGTGATTATGATAAAAAAATTACATCCGCTTTCACACGCTCTTGGAGCTCCAAGAGCTCTCGAACTGCCGTAGACGAAAGCATTCCACGACAGTTCCATGCTAAGGTTTTCATTGCTTCCGGCGATCCCCCTGTTCGGAGGTCGCCGATGTAATATCAGATTTTTTGTAACTGCCTCTCCATCTGTTCCTTTTAGCTTCTTCCTGTTCAGACTTTTTTGCGGCGTGCCCCCGTCAACCAAGGCCTCTTCTTCACTTCCCTCAAAATGCTGAGCAATCACAACTGTATTACCCACCGGAATTAGTTCCGTACTCTGATCCAGAGGATCATTCGTCAGGCCCCTCGATTTCGAGTCATGAGCAGCCCTCTTCCTCAACCCAAGGGAGTCTTCATGCTGTTGGTCAGTCATCAACGATGACGTCCCTATAATGGCTGCTTGGTCCATTTGGGCATTAAACCTCCAGCTTCTATTGTGATCATAATTTGACAGTATACCTTCGCCCAAAACAGGGGCCTCAGGTTGATTCACCACGTTCTCATGTTCTGTGTCCCTTGGGTTTTGTCCACGGCCACCGAAATTATTTTCCCTCCTCCCACGGCCTCGGCCTCGACCACCTGACATTTTAGGCACCTCACCACGATTAGCAGCACCAGGTCTACCTCCTCTAGCCCCTCTTCTAGAAGCAAGAATGAACGGACCCCACTCAAATTTTGTGGTATCATGCTCTCCTGATCCACACTCTTCATACCAGTGTCCCATCATACCGCACTCATAACAAAAAGGTTGGTAGTTTCTCAAACTTCACACTGTAAGGTTCAGTTACACCCGCCTTGGTAAATCTGACTACTCTTGTTAATTTTTTGCTTACATCCAGCCTTACTCTGACTCTTATAAACTCGCCAACAAAACCATTAGGGAGCGTAACCTGGACCTCTTGTACTTCGCCAATGCGACTCGCTAGGTTTTCCAGAAAGCTTTTGTTTTTCAGAACTCCATCTGGCAGTTTGTGAATTTGTGCCCAGGTTTCCAACCGATCAAGTTTTACCTTTTCTGGCTTGGAGAAACCATCATACTCATCAAGAATTAAAGCATGACCTTTGAAATCCCAGGGGCCCTAATGCATGGCCTTGTTCCAATCACCCAAGCAGTTGAATTGGATAGAGTAGAGGTTAGGATTTATCCTCCTCCAAATTACTTCATTTGCTGGATTCCATGCCGCACGCATGTCACCAATGAGAGCGCTCTGACTAAACGATTTGGTCGTCAGAAGACGTCCAATCGCAAGCCACTTTGGTCTGACTTCCTCTGTATCAATCTCATCTTCCCAAACCAAATCATCAAGTTCATCCTCCTGCAGGGTTAGGCGATCTAGTAGATCGGTGGTACTATCAACTCCCGGACCCTTGGGCGCTTCTTCATCCACCTGACTAGCCATGCCTCCCAGCGAACTAGCAGAACAACCAACGAAGACTCTTCTGTAACCCTAGCAACACCCTGCTCCCCACCAAGGCCGGGTAGGCGAACCAGTCGCCCCCTGGTTCAGCCCAAGCGAGAGGGAAGGGTGTAGCGTAGGGGAGAAGGGAAAGGGATCGGCTTTCGCCGGAAGAAACGATACTCACGGCGCAGATCGCCGGAGGACTGGAAAACCCTAGGCCGCCGCCGAGGGGACCTCTGCTGCTGGCATCTGTTTG